AGAAAGATGCAAGAGGTTTGGAGATTGAGTCGTGGCAACTGCTTGGACATGAGGGATCACCCCTCATGAGAGAGTGAGGAATTACGGATGATTCCAATGTTGTGATCCTGGATAATTAGAAGGATGGTGATGTCCTACCTCAACAGAAATAGGGAAGTTCAGAAAGAGGAGAGATTTGGGGGAAGATATAATGAGTTCAGTTTTGGACATACTGAGTTTGAGATGCTTATGTGACACATTCAGTTTGTAATAGCCAATAGGCAATAGAACAATGTGTTCAGGAGAGAGACTAGGGCTGGATATATAGAGTTATCTGCATAGAAACAATGACTGAATCCATGAAAGTTCATGAGAATGGAGAGAAGAAAAGAATGACCAGGACAAAGCCCTGAGGTAAACTTATGCATAGAAAATGATCCAGCAAAGGTACTGAGGTATTGCTAGATAGGTGGGAGGAGAAGCAGAAGAAAGCAATGACATAAAAACCGAAGGAGGAGGAGAGGAGTGACTAGGAGGGGGTGTTACCATTGTCAAATTCCTGTGGTATCATGAAAGATTCCACATGAAAGGACTGTGAGAAAAGCCATTAGGTTTGTTAATTAAGAGAGATCTTAGTAATTAACTTTGGAGAGAGCAGTTTCAGTACACCCAGCAACTAGCATAATGATGAGGTCGGAAGACAGATAGCTAACAGTGGCATTACCTAGAATAATATCTAAACAAAAGATTTCTCTAGGTTAGAGCTATGTGGACTGAGTCTAATAAGATGAAATACAATAGGAATAAATATAAAGCCTTACCCTTATGTGCAAAAAAAAAATCAGCTTTACCAGTACAATTAATGATTAGGCAGCAGTTTGTCTGAAAAAGATTTGGGGGTTTTAGTGGACTACGTGTTCAGTATGAGTCAGCAATATGATGTGGTAGAAAAAAAATGCTAATGCAATATTGGGCTGCATTAAAAAGGCACAGGGACCCAGCTTCCAGGAATAGGGAGGTGATAGTCCCACTGTACTCTGTTATAGTCAGACCACATCTGAATTGTTGTGTTCAATTCTGGGCACCACAGATAAAGAAAAGATGTTGATAAACTGGAGAGCGTTTAGAAGAGGGCAACTAGGTTAACGGCTTTCAATCTATGTTATAGAAGAATCAGTTTAAGGAACTGGGTAGATTTAGTTTGGAGAGGGGAAGACTCAGGAGGAACTTGATAACCATCTTCAAGTATTTGAAGGGTTATTATATGGAAGAGAAATTAGGTGTATTCTGTTTTGGCCTCAAAGGATAGAACCAGGAACAAATAGTAAAAACTGCAGAAAGTAAATTTCAGCTTGATATCGGGGAAAAAAAAACAAAACAACTTCCTCACAATTAGAGTTATCCAAAGTGGAGTACAGAATCACAGAATTTGACACCTGGAAGGGGTCTCACTATCACATAATCTGACCTATTGAAAGGAATGCTTACTATACTATACATAAGTGTTTATTCAGTCTCTTGAGATAGCCCTTCCCCTTCTGAATAGCATTAACTGTTGGTAAGATTTTCATGATATCAAGCCTAAATTTGCCTCATCGATTTCTACGCATTGCTCCTGTTTCTGCCCTCTGTGGGCAAACAGAATAAGTCTATCCTCCATCACATAAACCAACCATTTAATCATTGGAAAAATAATTAAGCTATGCTGGTGCTAATCTCGTTGCTGGAGGTTTCAAAGACAAAACTGAAACAGTTCCTAACCTCTAAGACCCCACATTCTATCAAGAGAAAAATTGCACATATATAGGTATGAATAAATGAGGTAATTCTCTTTTCTGATTGGGATAATCTTATTGATTGAAAAGAGGTATAAACTAGTAAGACAGCTGTGTGAGAAACACTGAAAAAAACCCAGCCATACAGAGAAAAGACAGTAATTGAGTAAAGATGGTTGAAATGTCTTGTTTCTCAGAGTCCAATTTACAAATAACTAGCAGGAGGACTCTAAGGATGAAAGTTGAGAAGCAATGACACGTAGAGCTATTTTGTGACTATGGGATGTATGGTTTTATAAATTTGTGCCCACTCTCCTTCCTGGATGCTATATGCATTGTTAAGAGAGTATGACCTAGCTTTATGGAGTGTTGTATTTGGAACTCTTTTTGCTTTGCCTTCTCTTTAGCAAATATCTGTAATAAAGGGTTAATGATGTCATCTTGGACTTTATCATATGGGAGTAAATTTGTTGGAGGAGGTTGGGACCTGAGTAGGAGAGTATTCCACCTACCAGGGTTACCCCTACTGGGGTAGGAGCATGGTCATCCCGTATAGGGATCTCTGATCCACTGGAGTTAATACAGTTTGGATGAATGAGCCAGCTCAGGGGAAAAAAAAGAGTCAGTTCAAGTGCCATACTCCACATCATGTATAAAATCAATTCAAAGTAACCTTGGCAGAGGAGATACTAACTAGCAGCAGGCAGGGGGAGAGTGGTATCAAGAAAGTCCCTAGAATAGATAGTAGTGTTTGAGCTAAGGAAGCCAGGGATTCCAAGAGGCAGAAGTGGATGTATTCCAGGCATGGGGGACAGCCAATGCAAAAACATGGAGTCAAAAAGTAGAATGCCATAATGCCAGTTTGGCTGAAACATAGAGTTCATAGAAGGGAGTAATATGCAATAAGTCTGAAAAGGTAGACTGAATCAAAGTTGTGTAGAGCTTTTAGTGCCAGAGGAATAATGGATCCACTAGAGTTCATTGAGTAAGGATGGTGACATGGTCAAACCTGTATTTTAGGAAGATCATTTTGGTGGCTATTTCGAGGATGGTTGACAAGTAACTGCTTCTCATACACTTGACACTGATAATCATGTCCTCTCTGAGTCTTCTATTGACTAAACAGTTTGTCTGTTCAATCAATCTTCCACATAATACTGATTCAAGGTTCTTCCTCATCCTGGTTGTCCTCTTTAGGACGTGCTTTTTTTCCATATCGTTCTTAAATTGTGGTGTCCAGAACATCACATAATACTTTAGATGTGATTTGACCAGGGCAGAGTACAGTGACATTATCGATCACTTCCTGATTGCTGGAAGCTGTGCCTCTCTAATGCTGACTAGGTTGCGTTAACATTTTGGACTCCCGCATCACCCTGTTGATTCATTCTGAACTTTCAATCCAGAAAATTTCCAAATTTTTTTCAGACAAACCACAATCTAACCATGCTTATACTGGTGAAGCTGGTTTGCTGCATCTGAGTGTAAGACTCTGCCCTCAACCCTACTGAATTTCAGCTTGTTAGATTCAGTCTAATGCCCCTCAGCATCACTCAGCATCAGTCCATAAAAATCTTTCCATGTTTTTCTGAAGTCTGCTTGCTCATTATTTCTTGCAGCACAGTAGTATTCCATTACATTCATATACTACAACTTGTTCAATCATTCCCCAATTGAAGGGCATCCCCTCAATTTCCAATTTTTTTGCCACCACAGAAAGAGCTGCTATAAATATTTTTGTCCTTATGGGTCCTTTTCCCATTTTTATGATCTCTTTGTAATACAGCCCTAGAAGTGCTATTACTGGGTCAAAGAGTATGCACATTTTTATAGCCCTTTGGGCATGAACTATTTTTACACACAAACACACACACATGCACATGTATACATACCTCTTGTTTCCACAAAATGTTGTATATTGATGTGTATGTGCATGTGTGTTTATTTATCCTTGTTGATGTCTGTCTACATTACACTATACATCAGAAACTTGGTGCTGATGTTTATTTTCATTTAGGCAGAACAATGTCAAGGATAAAATTAAAGATACTCACACATGGGAGCTAAAGAGATATGTGAAATGGACCCAACCTGGAAATATGTTTTTATTAGAGATACAACATTTATCTTGATTACATAAGCTATGCTGCCTTATGATAATTCCATCTATAAGAATTTATAACACCTTGGTGGCTAGTCTGTCCAGAGGATGTCTCCTCTTTTAGATGCCCTAGTTTCTAAAATCAAATATTTGAGAAAAACCCTCCTCTTTCTAATGGGTTTTGTGCATCCCTTCAGTGGTGCCTTTTATATGAGAAGTACTATGAAACTCTCACTAAATCAAGTTTTATGTAGAAATTTAGGGGTGGGAGAGAAGAGACAGGTTGTGTGTGGGGGTGATATGTAGGTGATGGTGAATTATAGGGACACAGAAAAGAAAGGGATTTGAAAGTAAGAGGCAAACAGGGGAGGGTATGGTGCTAGCTGAGAACATTGGAGTATTTCTCTAAAGCCACGGATTCTTAACCTTGTGTCATAGATCCCTTTGGCAGTCATCAGACAAACTTTTCTCAGAATAATGTTTTCAACTATACAAAATTAAATCTATAGAATTACAAAGGAAACCAATTACATTGAAATACAGTCACTGATGATATTAAAAAAGAGCAACAAGTTCATGACCTTCAGGCTCCCTGTGTCTCAGTGTATGGATTGGGAAGAATTACAAAGAAACTAGAATTGTAGCCATGTAGCAGCTATAATTATCCCTTCAACATGGCAGGGGTTAGGGGCTTGGCGCTGCCCCAGTGATCTGGAAAATCTGCATAAAATTTTTTGGCTCTTCCTACCAGAGAAGAAGTCTGAATTATTATAGTATTAAAAGATAAAATATGTTGATATTATACAATACAATACATGTATTTTATGCATTTCTGAGTTTCTAAACTTTTTCTGAGTCTGCTGGCTTTCATGTGTCATCTGCACCTTCCGCAAAACCTCCCAAAAATTCCCATTTAATTTCTTATGCCAACCCACAATTTATTGAAGCTGCAATGGGGAAAGTTGCGATATGGAAGGGATAACTGTATTCCTTTCCTTTTATTCATTTTCAGTGCTCATGGATACGATAAGCTGTGTGCTGTTTTACCAAATTCCAGATCAGTAATTTTTAATAATGCTGTGGAGGCTTGCTTATGGCCTTATTCCTTTTTTCCCTTCCTTCTAATGTCTTCGATGCTACAGAGAATGACCAACTACATATCAACCAAGTTAAGAACCTTTCTCGGTGAGCCTATGGGAGAGAAATGTGTTGCCTTTGTGGATGGAGTTGATAAAGACCTCGCAATCAGATTAATGAGCTTTGGTTTTGATAAGGTAATTGTCTCTCTTTCTCTAACTCCTCTTCACTCTTTCAGTTTTTTTTTCTTTCCCCTTTTTTCTATCCCCACTCTCCTAATGGCAGCCTTTGCTGTTTTTATACATTAGAAATTGTTTAGCAGGGAAACTTTGCTTCCAGTCTATTTTACTGATTTCCTGTGGTATCTCTAAGGGTCTGTTTAAATGATGGTTTGACTAGGGGCATTTCAGCCTGGGTTTGTATTAGTCAATCAGCAAGCAATTTATTAAGTGCTTACTACGTACCAGGCACTATGCAAAATGCTAGAGTTATAAAGAAAAGCAAAAAACATATACTGTGCTCTCGAGAAGCTCACATTCTAATGGAGGAGTCAATATGTACTTAAGCAGATGCATTTAGTATTCAAATACCTTAAGACAGACAATTAAACAACACTAACTGCTACATATCTAACCTAAAGGCTGTTTACTCATTTGTTAGATTCTTCCATCCTTACAGAAAGGACTTAACTAAAGAGAGTAATATCCCAATAGTACTATCAGGAGCTTGCCAAGACTCTGGGCAAGTAGCCATCACCAACTGGATAATGCCATTCTCTCAGGATAGTTTTCGTTATTTCAAGGTGAGATATTATGAAAATATCAAATGAAAGTTGATTTTCATTCTTTTTATAAAATATCCTCCATTCAAGTCCTACCCCAATGCTTTTCTGTGGTATAGAGATGACCCAGCATTCTCAGAGGCTATACCAGTAGAATACAAGCTCTGAAAGATGCTATAGAGCTGGAAAGGCTTTGAGGATGGGAAAACAATGGACCAGGTGTCTGTCATCTGGGACCAGCCAGACAAATTAGTTGGTGCTTATTACTAGAAGGCTGGCCACCAGGCAATCAATTTGGTTGCCCACAATGCAAGGCATTGCAATCTGTATCAGTAGAGGGAGTAACTGTGAAATCACAGATAGCTCAACTATTGAAGAAAGTAAAAAAGATGTCATGTAGCATTTTAATAGTATCTTTTGAGGGAGAGGTGAGGGAGAGACAATTATGTTAAGAATAGGGGAAAATTGGTGGATTGGGGAATGAATCAAAAATAAAGTGTCTTGGTTCCAAGAAGTTTAGAATTCTCTGCTTCTAAGCATGACCAGCTTTTTTCAAGTCATACCTAAAATTCTTAAACTAAAATTAGTATTAATTCATTTGTTTTATAAAAGCAAATAATAGGCTGTAGAGTTCTTGGGACAAACAAGTGTTGCAATATAAAATTACCACGAGCCAAGTTGGAAGTCACTGAAAATGAATTTAACCTCTGTTATTTAGTATGTCAGTGGCCCTTGAATGTGCCTGATTTGAAGTTGATAATGATTTTTTTTTTCTAACCTTAAGCAAAATTATGAAGCAGGTAAAGTTTTGCTTTTGCATGATTCCATCTTCTTATTTCTCCCTCTTTTTCCATCCTTTCAGTGTTATGAGTAGCTATCTTACAGAGGTCTAACAGAAGATCATTCTTAAGGTGAAAGAATAAGGAAAGTGGAATTTCAGGTACCAGAAAGGAAGATACTATTTAGCGGGGCCTTCACAGATCTTTAAATAATACCACATAGGCAAACTTTTATTTCACCTGTGGACGTGCTACAAGTGTAGCTTTTTGCCCGTGGCCCCCACCCCCATCTACATAAGCCTTGTACCATTGCTGAAGCCATAGAAAGAAATGACTTTACTGATGGGCGTGAGACCACTGACCCCAAGGGATGCAGTCCTCCTCATATTCCTACTTTAAATCTAAAAGGGCCAGACATGTCAACTACAGCATAGGTTTTAACTTTGAAACAAAAATTTTCATCCCACTATATCTCTACTTTCTTTATGGATACACACACACACACACACACACACACACACACATACATATATTATATATGTGTTTATGTGTGTGTGTTTTATATATATATATACACTATATATACACATCTGTACGTATATATATATGTATATATATACATATCTAGCAATATGTCAATTGAAGCAACTTAGTCCTTCAAGATATTCTTAAAATCTGATCCTTCTATTAAAGAGAATTCAGGAGATGGGCAGAAGAGAGAGGATTTTCTCTCCTTTACTCCTTGGATAATCTCGGGGAAAGCTGACGTGTTGTTAGCATTATCTCAGCGTGAATATTTGGGTTCAGGACCACTGTTAACAACATCTGTAAAAAGCAGTCAACCAATTGAACTTAGAAAGGTGGTACAATGATAACTGTCTTCAAATATTTGAACGTCTGCTACATACAAGAAAGTTCTGTTTGTTCCCCAAAGGACAGAATTAGGAGCAACGGGTAGAAGCTGCAGATTAAGCCTGGGCAAAATTAGGCTTTAGGTAAGGAAAAATTTCTTGATTATTAAGTGAATGGGCTGCCCTCCTGAGGTAGTGTGTTCTCCTTCACTGGAGGTCTTCAAGCAGAAATGGGATGACCTCTTGTGGGTATGTACAGGAGATTCTTGTTCAGGTATGGGTTGAACTAGGTAACCTCTGACATCCCTTCTAACAACACTGAGATTCTGAAGTTCTCCCATTAGTTCAGATTTGTTGTTGTTTTTCAGTCACGTCCAACTCTCTCCCCATTTTGGAATTTTCTTGGCAAAGGTACTGGAGTAGTTTGCCATTTCCTTCTCCAGCTCATTTTACCAATGAGGAACTGAGGCAAACAGGGTTAAGTGACTTGCACAGAATCACACAGATAGTAAGCGTCTAAGGCCAGATTTGAGCTCATAAAGATGAGCCTTCCTGATCCCAAGCCCAGTGCTCTATCCATTGCACCACCTAGCAGTTCAGTTTTGGGGATGGGTTATATTCACTTTCAAGCTACTTGAGTAAACACCACAATTATTTTCATTTTAGAGTATAGGTTCAATCATATGAACCTTCTTCCTTCTTAACTCTTTAGAATCACTCTTTCATTACATACTTCTTGAGCACTTACTATGTAGGGCACTGAGCTACAAAACTGCTGAAGATGTATTTTAAGATGGTCCCTTCCCTGAAGAAATTTTCAGCCTAGTTGGGGAGAAAGGAAACGTATGGATTATGATGACAAAAGTCATGAGGCAAATTCCCCAAGTCAAACATGGAAGCATAATCAATGATCCCAGCACTAAGTGATGCAGACAATAAGTGCCACAGGAGGTCAAAAAAGGGAGAGAGAGAGAGCACCATAGGCTGGAATGATTTTGGAAAACTTTACAGAACTTGGGTAAGAGTGGGCTAACTGGAGAGGATAAGGTAGGGTGAGACAAAGACTCAGACACACAATGTGTTTAGGGGGAAAGGAGCAGACAAATGAGTCTGGAGGGGAAGGGAGGAGAGGGCTCATGAAGGGACAGAAATGGGAGACAAGGCTGAAAAAGTAAGTTGAGTCTGTGTAGTAGAAGGACTGGAGTACCAGGCTAACGAGTTTTATTCTATAGGTAGTAAGGAGCAATTGGAGACATCTGATTTGAGGCGGTGACTCAGGGAAAGTGGGGGAGTGTAAACTCCTAGAGGGAGAGGTCTTTCGCACAGGGCCTAAAATACATTGTTGATATAATCAAATTAACCAATAAAAAGATAGAGTACTGAGCCTTAGTTTCTTCAGCTCCAGAATGAAAGGGGTAAGTAAACCAGGCACTTGTAGCATTAGTTATTTTTTCATGTGATTTTCATGTTTTATCAATGTAAATGTGTCTTCTTATTTTACAGCCATCCTTAAATCTATCATATTTCCCTAACTAAACTGCAAGCTTCTTGCAGGCAGAAACTATGTCCTAATGCTTCTTCTGAATCCCACTATAATGTATAGTACTGAGTCCTTCTAGCTCTAACAATATTCAATTCATGCCTTCTGATCCATGGGGAATTTGTCCAGAGGAGTCTCTGGGGTGACCAATCCTCCTTGAACTCCTCTGGGAGTTGAAGAGGAGGTCTAGCCTGGAAAATCTGCCTGGAATATTGAGCCATTGTGTGGCTTGTTTTGTGGAAGTTGAACTAGTCCCACCAAGGAGCTATGTTGAAAGCAAGCATTGAAAGGCATACATGTAAAACTTAAAACTTCCTGTGGCCGGATTTGGCCTTCCCATCCCACAGAGAGAAAGACTTGCTTATTCATCTCCTGGTTATAGGATCAGAAATGGAGAGTCTGTGTACAGCCAAAAGCCATAGATACAAACAGACTTCATCTTTCTTAAAACCCTTTTGAGAATGCGAGTTAACTTTTCCTTTCAGCTTGCCTGATTGGCTATGCAGACTGAAACAAAAAAAAAAAAAAATACAGTGTCAGGTTGCAGATTGTCTACAGATCCTGCAAGACGAATCCCTTCTTCCTGTGACATTCCTGGAAAGTTTTCCTCATCTCACATACCAAACATTCCCTGGCTTCCCCAAGAGTCAGTCTGGTTGAAGCTTCAACTTGTAATGTCCAGTTCATTGTAGCAGCAGAGCACTGTAGATTCAGAGGACTGGGCTTTTAGTTTTCTTCCCCAACTACAAAATGAAGGCGTGAGATGCATTGTCTGCACCACCAGGCATTTGCAGCATTAGTTATTTGGGTAAGAGTCTTTTAATGACCAGAGAAGGTTACCAACGGTTGGGATGAATGGGAGGCAGGGAATTACAAGAATATTGACAAAGTGTCTCAATAAAGTACACCATGAAAACATGGTAGACATTGATAAGATAATTTAAAAACCACATAACCAAACATAATTTTGCAATTATGCCATGCAACACCATAGGAAATATACCCTCTATCAAAAATGTGGCTGAATATAATACATAACCTTTGTATAACACAAGCCCTTAAACTTAACTTTTGCCAGATAGGAATAGGATATAAAGTTTGTTGCATGATTTTTTTTCTAAATGGTGCATGACCTTTAGGGGAGAGAGAGGACACCTAAAAGATGATAATGTATCCTTTGGAGTAACATTAGAAGCCACAATCCCTGGGGTCCTAAGTCAGCAGCAGGCAACCTAAGACAGCAATACTTCGTATGTCAAACTTTAGTTTTCAGTAGAGACTCTCTATGGAGGGATGGGAATAGTTTCAAATAGCCTATCTCATTTGATTAAAAGAGCTAAACTCATTCCAGGATGTAGAAAACGAGAAAGGAAAAGAAAGATTGAAAAATAATATCTTTTATCTTAATAGGGCCTGATGCTTTCCAAAGAGGTTTCATGTATACTCATTTATCTTCACAATACTAGGGAGGTAGAGGGGGCAGAGGGAGAAGGACAGGTTATATTAGTCTCCATTTATAGGTGATGAAGAAACAGAGGCACAGGTAGGTACAATGACCTGTCCAAAGTCATATAACTAGTTAGCATCAGGTGACAGCTTAGTGGCACAGTAGATAGAGTGTTGGACTTGGGAGTCAAGAAAACCTGAGTTTGAATCCAGCCTCAGTCACTTAGTTGTACAAGTCATTCTGTCTGCCTCAGTTTCCGCCACTGTAAAATGGGGCTAATAATTGCACCTGCCTCATAGGGTTGTTGTGAGAATTGTATGAGATAACATGTGTATAGGTTTTGCAAACCTTAAAGCACTAAGTAAATGTTGGTGATTTTTATTAGTGACAAAGGTAGCTCTAGAACTCAGGTTTCTACTCAGTTTAGTATTCTTTTCTGCTATATCATGTTTCCAGTCAAATAGGATGGCCATGGCCCAGAAATGAACTGAAAAGGTAGGCATCTAATTACCTCTATATTTGTTTTGTTTTGTTGTTGTTTTTGTTTATAGAAACATCTCATCCCATGCCTGAGAAATACATCTGGAAATCACCCTATATGCAATAGTATCCATGCCCCTGAGAAAGACGGCTTCTAACCAGTTCTTAACATCGCCAGAGAAGCAGAGGGCACAATCCCCCTCATAAACTATATCAGTGTTTAATCATACTGTACCCTGCTGGCTTCTACTTACATCCATGGTCTCATGTTCTGAGGAAAAAAGAGAATAATAATTTTATGTTTGTTTTTTGCATGACACCTGTGATTTCACTGGCATAGAAAAAGCCTAGTAAGGATACTTTTTTATTAATAAGATTAGCATCTGCTCTGCAAATTATAGTCTTATAATGTAGCCTGGGACACTGAGTGGTTAAATGATTCAACCAAAGTCACACAGTATTTCTCAGAATTGGGACTTAGCTCTTTCTAATTCTGGGACCTGCCCTCTATCTACTATGCCAAGCTGACTCTACTTCACATGACACTGTAAAACTCTTTCCTTCTCTCCTTGTCTCATCCTTCTGCTGCCTCCTCTCAGGCATACGTACTGTTGGGTCAGTACCTCCTCATGCACAAGAAAGAAGACGACTTCCAGATGTGGCTCATGCTGAGATGTGGTGCCACTCAACAAGAGGCCCAGAAGATTTCCATATGCCTGCGGGAGTGGTGTTCCACCTTTATCTAAAGACTAAGATCCAACATCTCTTTCATGGTAACTTTGAACCACAGGATTAAACATCTCTCAGTGTGTTGAAAACCCAGTCTCAGGCCTTTTGTTTTGTATTGTTTTGCCTGGGGTAGCCTTAACCCCTCCCTACTCCTTTTGGGGTAGCCTTAACCCCTCCCTACCTCTTTCTTCGCAGACTAGGAAACCAAGATCATTCCTTACCCAAAGACACTTTGGGAGTGAATAGGAATAACTCTTGATTATTGGTTAGACAATCTGTGTATCTTCCAAGCTTTTCTTTCTCCTCTCCAGCCTGGCTGAGGTCTGTATTTCTGTTGTAATGGTCCCAAGCCTCAGTAGGGCTGAGGGGAGACGAGCCAAGCAGCTAGCAACATGCAGCCAGAAAGGCCCATTCTCCAGATAGGCCCATCTTAGGTGTAGGTGACCTAATATGACTAGAGGGAGGGAGAAAACTCTTCTGCTCTCCAAATATTACCCCCATTGATTACCTGAAATTCTACCATTTTTAGGGGATTTCTTCCTTTGAAGTGTTTTGCTTTCTAGGCAGTGATTACTCCTGAAAGCCATGACCTGTTAAATCCCAGAATTTTGAGTGTAAGTTTATAGCTTGCCCCCAAGACTCTGATGCCTACAAGATATATTGTAAGCAGGAGAGATGCTGGAGGTGTGGGTGGTAGGAAGGGTGAAGAAGGGGGCATCAGGGACAAACTTTACCATTGTCACAATTTGGCCCCAAGCCAGCCCAGACAATTGTAGTCCTGTTCCTATAGCTTTGTTCTCTTGCTCTCCCTCTGCCCTCTGCCACCACTCACCACCCCCTGTCACCCACCTAGTCTTAGACCATGTCTCTTTTACAATATACATGGGTCTAGTTCACCGTGGTCCCAATAGGGAAAAGAGAATAACGGGCTAAGGACAATTCCCCTTTTCTATACTTAGAAGGTTCATGGAATACCCATACTTTTTTTTCTTCCAAATGATACATTGGGCACAGAGAGAGAACTAGACGCATAATTTATTGAAGTCTTAAGTGCACATCATACTTTCTAGGTCCAGAACATGATCAAGTGAAAAAAATGGTTTCATTTTTCTCATACTTCCAAAAATCCTTAGGCACCTGCCATCTGCATAAGGGAAGAAGCTGCATAGAATAGTTGGGGCCTGCCCTGGGAGTTTAGAAGACCTGGGTTCAAGTCCCTTCTCTGACACATACTGAGTATGTGACCCTAGACAATTCTCTTAAGACTATACATTGCAGAGCAATTGCTAATCTGTTTTTGGCAGAGGGAATTCCCCCACTGGAAGTTCTCTACACAAAAATATGGCAGGACATGGGAATGGAAAGATAGACACAGAACAAGGACTTACAATCTAATGAGGACAGGGAGAACATGGTAAGTGCAAGGCAGAGGTTCAGACAGAATGTCACAAGAAATAAATTTAAGGTAAGTCAAGGAAAGTAGCGGTCAGGGAAAGCTTCATGGAAGAGGTAACCCTGCTTCGGATCATTGTAGGTGGAGGGAGGTGGGTTGGTGTCACTCCAGAAGAACTGAAGCCCATGGACTGTCTGGGAAGGCCTGAGACTTAGGTCTGAATTTAGAACTAGAAGGGTCCTTAAGCATCTTCTAATCTAACCTCATTTCACAGATGAGGAAACTGAGGTCCAAAGAACTTAAGTGTTTTGCTCAAGGTCATACAGGTAGTAAAAGGCAAAGGTGTGAAAGTTGAATATCAGGCCTCTCATTCAACTCTAGCACACTTTCCATCAAAATATACAGCCTTCCTTGAGCTATGGGACCACATAAGGCTAGAAAACTGCCTGCTGGATATTGCCTACCTAGATGTCATAAACTCAAATTTCACTTGTCCAAAACAAAATCAATCATCTTCCCCCCAAAACAGAATCACCTCATAACATTGTTTTTGTTTGTTTTGGTGATACCACTGCCATAAAACCAGTTAGAACCTTGGAGACATCTTTGGCTCCTCCTTCTTATGTCACAAGTTACTTTTAGCCCCCTGGCTCACCTCAAGGTGCTTCACAGAAGATTACCCCAGGAAATGTCATAAGATCATAGCCATGCTTTTTTTTTTTAAATAGATTTTTAGTGATATCTTTGGTTTTACCATCATCTAACTTTGCCCCTATATTCCCTCCTTCCCAGAAAGTTATTCTTTATAACAAATTAATTTTTTTAAAGAAAAATAGGAAGAAGACAAAAAAGAATCATCAAAACAGATCAACACATTGAAAAAATCTGACATTATATACGGTGCTCTGTATCCATTGACCTTCTACCTCTGCAAAGGAATGGAGAGAGATGTTCCCTCATATCCCTTCTTTGGGGCTAAGCTTGTTCTTTGTAATTTTGCAGCATTTACTTTCTTTAAAAAAACAAAACAATACAAAACAAAACAAACAAGTTTTTATTGATGTCTTCTGTTTTTTTACATCATCATAGTTCCCCCAGTTTCTCTATTCCTACTCCTCTCAGAGAGCTATCCCATATAACAAATAGTATTCTATAAAGAAAAAAAAAGAGAAAAAACCCAGCACAACTGATCAGTACAATGAAAAAGTTTGAAAACATGTGCAATATGTAATACCTGTGGACCTCCTACTTCTGTGAAGGTGAGGATTAGGGGTGTCACTCTTAATTTAAGTTATACTTTATAGTTTTGTAATATTCATCTTTGTTTTGTGTGTGTTTTCTTTTTTCATTTACATTGTTGTAGATATTGTGTCTATTGTTTTCTTGGCTCTGCTTACTACACTCTTCATCAGTTCATGTAAATCTTTCCATGCTTCTCTGTATTCACCACATACATAATTTTTTATACCATGGTAATATTCATTACATTCACATACCACAATTAATTTAGCCATTCCCCAATCTATAAGCAATGAATTTGTTTCCATGTCTTTGCTATCACAAAAAGTGCTGTTATAAATATTTTGGTGTATAAGGAGACTTTCTTTTTTAATCAATAGTTTCCTTGGGGTAATAGAGTAATAGAACCTAGTCATGGAGTCTTTGGTTCAAAGGGTATGGATATTTTAGTCACTTTATTTGCATAATTCCAAATTGCTTTTGGAATGTTGTACCATTTGTACCAAAATGGTCATATCACAGATCCACATATCATTTCACAGATCCACAAACAATATACTGATATGGTTATTATCCCACAACCCCTCTTTCATTGACTGTTACCATTTTTTGTCATCTTTGCCAGTTTGCAGGGTATAAGGTAAAACCTTAGAAATCTGGAGCATTCTTTCATGTGGTTGTGAATACTTTGCAATTCTTCCCTTGAAAACTGCAACATTTATTTTCCATTGTTTTGTAGTCATTCTATTTACATTGTTGTAATCATTTGTTTTCTTGGCTCTGTTTACTTCACTTTGCATCAGTTTATATAAGTCTTTCTATACTTCTCTATATTTAGTCGGCATCTTCATCATTTCTTGCAGCTCAGAGACCATGGGGAATCATGAGGCCACATTGGTGTGGAAAAGGAGGGAAGGAAGGCTAAATTGAGGGAGGTGGGATTTGGCTATGGGGGGGAGGGGTAGAAAGGGAACATCAGTAATAGCAGAATTTATGTAGTACTTGAAGGTTTGCAAAGTGCTTAATCTATATTATCTCATTTGAAAATGGCTTCTGTAAACAGACCATCTTGCAGCTTTCCATTTTAATCTTCTTCTTGCTAACTAGATGCTAAGCTTTGCTGTTTCTTTTGCTGGAGGACTACAAGTTCTTTCACCACCTTGGAGGCAAAGCCCTGATTACCCTACCCTAGTTGCATCTATAATAGAGAAAGCTAGAGGATGAGAGGTGAGAATCAAATTCTTTCACTTCAGTTTTTGAACATAAGTCTTACAGAGTGATATCCTCACACACAACTGTTAAGACACTTTTAAGAGGTACTTAGGATAACACAGGCCTTGACAGCTCAGTCTCTAAGTCCAAGTCACTTAGTATTCTCACTGTGGCTACTTTGTTCTTTCCTTGTGAATTTAACCAAACTTACAGAAGTACACTTTTTTTCCTGCTTCTGAAGACTAGAATTATATTATTTAGATAATTTGAAAGTAAGATCAAGATCCAGTGACTTAGGATGAGGAGTAGGGAGGAAGACTTATCTGGCACCTTTTTGTCTTTAGATACCACGCAATTGGTCCAATATAGGGGGTGGGCTAGATGGCTGGGATAAAGAGATAGGTGAAACAGGAAGAAAGAGATACCAGCAGGGCTTCTACCTAACTTGTGATTGGCCTAAGAAACACACTGGCCAGGCACACTCAGCCCCTTGTTTCATAGGATCCTAGATCGTAGATATACAGCAAGAAGGGACTTTGGAGGCTGTTGAATCTAACCCCTCATTTTACATATGAAGAAACTGAAGCACAGAGAGGTAAATGACTTAAATTAATAGTACCTTTGAGTCTTTCCTAAGGAACTTCTAAAATCTCCCACAGAATGCTGGTGATTCTAATTGGAGTTGTAACATGAAGCTGGGAACCAGTGCCCTAGGACATATTGCCCCTTTTTCCTCTTCTATTATTTTCTTTCCTTGAAAGCTTAACAAAATGCACTACTCCATAAATTAGTCAGTTAAATGATGACATGAGTAGGGTCCTGGACTTGGACACAGAAAGATCCCATTCCGAATCCTACCTCAGCTACTTAGTAGCTGTGTGACTCTGGGCAGGTCACTTAACTTCTTAGCCTCAGTTTCCTTATGTGTAAAATGGAGATAATAATAGTATCTCCCTCACAAGGCTATTGTGAAGATCAAAGAACTTAGCAGGTAAAGTGCCTTGCAAATCTTAAAGCCCTATATAAATGTTATTGTTTTTATTATTAAATTTAAGACCTGAATCCTAGATCTAAAGCCCATTTGCTAACCTCCTGAAGAAATATATCCATGAACCTTTTGACTCTATGGTAATTTATGTAGCTTCTATTATACTAGGCAGTTTTTAAAGAAAT